CTCGTGTCTGGTGTCCGATGCAGGCTGGCACCCAGGTGTCGCGACGGTCAGCGATTCTGCCTACTCAACAGACTTGTAGAAAGTCGCTCCGCTCAGTGGCCAATTTCGTTGGGATTTGTCAACTTACAGGTACTATGCAATTCTTTGTAGCCCAGTAGATTGCTAAAGGTTTTTTGTTTCAATTGTACTCTGCCTTTCATTAAACCACGCCTAAGGAATCGTAAATTGCTGGAACGTTGGTAATTCGTTATTTTAATTGATTGAGGGCTACCCATTTTTTTGTGTATATTATAAAAGGCCTAACCTAACCTCTATATAATTACATTTACCATTAAAACTTCCTTATCGAACGAAAAACCGAAGCATTACTACAACTTTGAAGTTTTGTCCTTCCAATAATATTTATTTAATTAATATATCTTTATATGTCGGAAATATCCCAGAGCATCCAGTCGGGGCCGATAATGGAATAGCTATATGAATGGCAGGAATATAACTAAACTGTAGGACTAATAAATAAAACGCGTATTTCATTAAAGATTATTTTTAATATGGTTTATTTAGTAATATTTTGTTTATTTTTAAATATGCAGACACATTAAAATGTTGAATATATCCCAATCTGATTATTATCGGTATTTTGCTTTGAAGAGCAAAGCATGGCAAGGACTCCTTGGTGAGGACTTCCTTTTGAGATTTTTGTGCTTGGGTTTCGGTTAAATATGCCCATATGTATATAGTATATGCTGTATATGTGTTTGCTTCAACGTTTACAACGAGTTTTTATTCATATTTTGTATACTTACATACTCGTAGTTTGGTGTTGATTTCTGTCTCTTTACTTTCCAATATGTTCATTTGACCTATTTATAGTTTTCTTTTTCCTTGTGGTAATATTTTGATGTTTTACTTTGATCTTCTTACGAGTTAAAATTGTCCAACATTGTTTCCTGGGCTACTTTGGTGTCTGGTGTTTGATTTCGTTTTAAAGCATATTTTTTATAATGTATGTACTATATATATTTTGCTTCAACGTTTACAACGAATTTGTAATCATAATTACATATATTTAATTCATTTTTTTGAACTATGCTTCTTTTTCTTATTTTCGTTTCCTTTACTGTTTCTATTTGATGTTTTAACTTTTGTCTTCTTACGATTTAAAGCTACATAAACTTGTGGTTTCTTCACGTTTTTTGTGGGCTTGCTTACCTCTCATTCGGGGCTTTCTTCCTCGTCCAACCATCAAAAATATATACATATATACATATGTACATATATATGTATGTATATATGTATTTATAGGTTAATATTCGCATGCAATGGAGCTATGAAAAGTAATTTCTATATATGCATGCTACATATAAATATTTCTTTTGGTTATTCGTTCCTCCAATCCAATGGAGTCTCACAGGGAATTGTGCAGTATTCCGCCATATACTACATACATATGTACATACATACATATATAGGTACAGGCATATATACTATATATTTATGTTAATATTACATTCTGTATATGGTAGCTTATAACATTTGTATTATGCAAATTTGTAACAAAAACGTAACCTCAACTTTTTCTTTGTGCAGTGATTTGTGATTTGGTATTCCCCGTATATGGGGCTCCCCTGCCCTCTGAGGCCACGAAGTGGGGTTCCTCTTGCATGCATTGTTTCGTAAGAAGAGAGGAGGGGGCTGTGGCTGTGGCTGTGGCGGAAGTCGATGCTGGGGTCCAACCCCACCATATTGGTTACAATTAATATTTAAGTATGTATAGTTAATAAGTCACTACAGCGATTCGTCTTCGTCACCGACTACAATTTTTGGTGTCTTGGATTGCTATTGGTAGTAAAGTTTGATGTCTTGTTTTGCTTCGATGTTGATTATTGACATTCAACATCGGCTTTTGGGCAATACATTATAACTGTATACATACACATATTATAAATACATAACTACATATATTTAAATGTAGATTAACTTTAAAGCGTTTCTTAACTCTTGGTTTTATTGCTCCTCCACCACTTCCTTGTTGTTGATTTTGATTTTGGTTTTCTTTTATCGATCGTAAAATATCGTTGTTATTCTTGTTGCATCTTGGTGTTGCTTATGTTGATTGGCTTTTTGTGCTTCTGTTTGTGCTTTGGCATTTCCCTTCCCGTCCAACCAGCCGGAACTGGATCCGGATCCGGCTCCATTTCCATATTCTTGTCTATAACTACGGCGTACAAATTTAACGGAAAAAGTTTCGCTGGGCAGAGGTTGAAGCGTTGCTTCTGTAGGGTTTTGGTAATTGGGTAACTCAGGGTCGAATCAAATCATACCTGAACCATGACTCGCATTCAGATCCAACTTCTTACGGGCCACTAAGTCGCCGCGAGAGCCGAAGCCAAGCTTCGACTCCTCCAATTCGAATAATCGTAGTATAGGCTAACTAAGTATATGTATCTACATACAATGTAATGATCACACTCACACACCCAAGTGTACGCATGCACCCGCTGGACCTGGGCGTGCTCCCAGACTATACTCTAGTACTCTAGAAAAGACGGTGAGTGGGTGACGGAGGTAGGCCTAGGCTGATGTGAAGGTCTGGGGCAGTTCCGGGGTTAGAAAAGTTAAGATTATAAGGTTAACATTGGGTGGCTGAACACGTTAATGCTTATTGTTAAATCGTATTTGATCTTTCTGTGCTGGCTGATTCCTCCTGTAATATTGCTTTGGCTCCTCGTTAACGGCTTAGTCTAGACACGTGGGTGAGGCAAGCTTGGGAGATCCAATGTGCATACATACTGGTACGTATGTACGTATGTACGTATGTACAGTGCTGGTCTATTGCTTCGGTACGTTTCGTTTGGATTCGAGTGGTTCCTCTTTTTTGATACGTTTGACGAGTTTTATTGGTGTTATTGGTGTTCATTTTAAGGCTTCCGTGGTGTGTACTTATAGTCCAGAACTGCTAAAGTTTCATGAACTGCGGCCACAGGCCAGGGTACAGGGGGGCAAACAAAAATTGGGTGGAGTGGAGGTATAGGCTTTCCTTATATAGGAAACATTAAGCAAAATGAACCATGCGCATCAAGAACTGAAAAGTAAAAAGTTCAGAAATGATAGATAAATAAATAATATTCGTTTATCGCATATAAAATGTTTTATTTTATGTATGTATGCATAAATACAAATATAATTTTGGTTTCTTTTTAGTTGTTTTTTTTTTGCGTTTTTTTCTGTTTTGTTTCGTTTGTTGTATTTTTTATTTATTTTTGTTGTTGTATTGTTTGCAAGATCAAGATGAATAACAATTTAAAGCACTTAAAAAAGCATAAGATAAGGTAAAATAAGGTAAACTAAAGAATATACATACATATGTTAATTATTGTATTTTACTTATATTGAGGTTCCTACTCAACTATCCATATCTAATCGATTTGTGGCTGCTTTCAAGGGTGTGGGCTCATCTTTCCTATATATAGGGGCTTTTATATTCTCGTTGATTTTCAGTTTCTGATCTCTCTTGATCTTCGATTTCTGTTTCAGAAACGGGGCAGCGCTCAAGGTACACACGTTGTACATATATTGAGTTTGATTCTGTTTCAACCTTCTATACATTCTCTTGAAATAAGACCTACATATAGAACTGAGTACTCGAACGCAAAAAAAAAAAAACAGAAACAGAAACAGAGAGAGAGAGATATGTATAGAGAGACAAAAAAAAGAGTGTTTTTGAGAGAGATAGAGAGAGAGAGAGAGAGAGGGGGGAAAGGTAGAGAGACAGCGACAAATACACAACTAGAGTTGAATTGCAGAAGTGTCGGCAAACACGATTGATCCATTTAAAATGTAACACCATTCTTAAACGTTATAAATTATTATCGAATACGTATACAACACATATAGAGATATCGTAGAAAAATATGCAGTGGCCTAAAGCTCACACATACATACACTCAACAAGCGCTTTACGCAAAACATTAACAAAACATTGTGGGCATGCATGGCTGACTGCAATTTCGAAATTGTCAAACAATTGGTATCTAAAAGCTGCTGTTTACTTTTCGTTCTGCATTTTTGAAGAGGTTGAAAAACGATCTCAGTACCGGTCAGGATTCATACGCGAAGTTTTTGCTAAAACGTTAGTGAATTCAAAATTTTCTTCTAGGAAGTTTCTATGCAAAGTATATTATTATATAATATATGTTTTGCACTTTTGCATATAATCGGTAACTGATATCAACTGTAAAATGCGTTAAAGAGGCATCTTTTGATTTCGGATACGCTCTAAGGTTGGTTATTCGGTTTGAAACACATTTTCGGCACGTACATACATATTTGTGTGCAAATGTACATCCTACACATTAAGGTGCTGCCCAGCTGCATCTATGCGAAACAATTGTAGAATATGCCAGGAGGACAGCAGCTGGTGGGTGCACAGATGTGGTTGTAAGGCGATTATAGGGCGGATAAAGTACATACATATGCACATCGAGATATCAAGCTGTGCAAAGGCTATGCAAAGTAAACGTAGGGACGAACATGCTCTCTTATTTGTAGTCATCTGTTGATGTCTGTCCTCGCCATTACTGAAGTCCCAATCAACGGTTTTCTTTTCGTTTCTCCTGCTTTCCTATATAATTATCCTTAATCTCTTTCGTTTCCTTTTGATTAACTTGCAAGTCCAAAACTTGATTCCCTGTCTGCTTACTCTTCTCCTTTGTTGGTATACTTCGCGATTCTCTCTTCGCACATCGGAACTGCTGCAGCTACGCTCATGTTACTTCTCTTCTTGCTCCTCTTAAGCAGCTACTACATATATGTACATAAATATGCCTGCGCAGGGCGGGGAGTTTTTTGCAGTTGTGTGCAGGAAAGGAATCTTTTGAATTAGAGTGGGGGGAGGGGGGTCCATTTTAAACGTAAAGCGAGACAATTAAATAAAAGTAGATACATACATATACAACTAAGAATTACACACAAATTAAAAAATATATTTATAAAGCTACAACTATTACAAAAAAAAATCAACACACACACACACATACAATAGTAACACGATTAAAAGGGAAGGGGGCGGGGGCAGGGGTGGCAGGGCGACTTTCTGTGCGCATCTTGGGGGACTGGTGCGGGGGGAGGAGCGCGGACGCGGACGCGATCAGGGGTCTTCGATTGGCGACGTTCTCGGCTGTCTATTGCGATAGAATTAACGATGTCCCGGGAACGAGGATTCAGAAATTCATTTGTCATGTTTTTCGCGGCGGGGGCGTCGGTGGCGCCGGCCCGGTCAGCGACGCGGACGCAGGCGCTGAATGAGACTGAGACGCAGCGGTATAGGATGACGCATGGCTCGGCTGGCGTAGGCCGATCATGTCTTTGGGAATGTTTTTGTATTTTGCTGAAAGATGATGGGACTGGTGAGCAACTTGAGTATACCGGGGCGGGGCCGGGGCCGGGGTCGGACCGGCTGCGACTGCTTACCTGATCCCGCTGGAGCCACCGATTGCTCGTCGCGCTGGTGTTGCTGCTGCTTCAGCGAGTCGCTGTAAAAGTGCGACTTACGCATGTTGCCGTGCCCCAGTCCCAGGCCCATGCCGATGCCACTTAGCAGCCCGTTCAAGTTGCCATTGCTGCTGTTGCCGCTGCTGCAGATGCTGCTGTTCCCACTGCTCCCACTGCTGCCGCTGCCACTGCCACTGCCACTGCCACTGCTGCCGTTGTTGTTGTTGTTGTGGTGGGTGACCGATCCCGGCAGCGGGGGCTGCTGCTTGGAGCCATGTTTGTTCCCGGCCATTGCCGCGCCCATCCCCATCGCCATGCCCAGTGGCTCCCCTGTCGCCATCAAAACAGCTCCTCCTCCAACTCCAGGCGTCGTTGGTGCTTTGCTTGGCACTAAGCTTATTGTAGAAATTGCTGGTGGTAATGGAGATCTTTGTGAATCGTTGCCAATCTCGCCCGTGTACCTGGATAAACGAGGCGCAAGATTCGCTTTAGTAAATGTCCCTGGACTCCTGGGCTCCTTCAATGGACACTCACTTGATGTTGGTGTACTCTCGGCCGACCTGCAGGCTCTGCTCCTCGGCCCGCTTGCGTGCGATCAGCGTCTGGATGTAGTGCTGGACCGCGTAGTAGACGAACTTGTACTGGGCCTCCGTCTGGACCAGGCCCGAACGCTGCGACCGCACCATTTGAATGGTGCGCTGGATGTCTATTTCTGTGTCCAGTCCTGTGCATAGACGGATGGGAACGGAATTAGTTATACGCCGGCTGAAGTGGAGTCTATGTCTATGGCTCACCATTACGCACGATCTGGTCCAGAATCATGTCGATCACGATGAAGGTGCCCGTGCGTCCGATGCCCGCCGAGCAGTGTACACAGATGGGACCCTGCCGAAGAGAGAGAGAGAGAGAGAGATATGGTAGTGACTCTTCCCAGATAGTTGTAGCTTAGACTTACCGGCTTTTCTCCGGCCTGAGCCAGATTGCTCTGCTTCGTATTGACGTCCTGCAGGAAGTTGAGAACACAGCCGGGATCCGCGGGCACACCGTGGTCGGGCCAGACCTGGAAGTGGTAGTGGTAGATGCGCCGCTGTGGCTGCTCCCGCCAGGAGACGAGGAACTCGCGCAGCGTGTAGTCGCTGGTGGAGTTCTCCGAGACGCACTGAATGCGCGCCGACCCGAACTGCTCGCACTTCCCCTCGTCCGGCCAATAGCGGGCGCACTTTTCCTTGCCGCGCTCGTACTCCTTGGTGGTCATTACAATGACGCGCGTGTTCTCCTGCCACACCATGTTCCAGAAGTCCGTCACCGTGTTCACCTGCTGCGTCAGCAGGCACCCCTGTGTGGCGATGTACGTCTTGAACATCTCCCGCTCGCGCTCCCTCTCCCTTTCCCGCTCCGCGATCGTCATGGACCCGTAGGTCGTATCCCCGACGTGCTTCTGTTTCAGCAACCCAACCAGGCACCCGGCATTGGCACCAGTCACGCTGGTGGGGGTCCCCGGAACCGGACTGCCGTTCATGCCGCAGCTCCCCCCGATTCCGTTGGCGGAGAGGGGCGAGGACTCGTTGCGCTTGTGCTTGCTGAGGGAGTCCGACTTGCGGGTGCAGGTGGCGCAATTGCTGTAGGGCAGCGTGGCGGACTTGACCGCGCACTGGACGCAGGTCTTGTTCAGCAGCTGGCAGTTGGGGCAGCTGCGCTGCGTCTGCGCCGCAGTGCAGGCCGGGCACGAAGGGACCGAGCTGTTGAGGCTCTCCGACGAGCTGCTCATGTTGTACAGGTCGCCGTCAGTGGGTAGTCGGATGTAGTTGGCATTGATGTACTCCGCCCCAGCCACGCTGTGCTCGACGTCCAGTAGCTTCACCCGCGTGTGATCATCTGTGGGATGGGCAGAAAGGGGCTTTAAACTACTCCCCAGAGGGGCTTTGGGCATGCTCCACTTACATGGCAATATGTTGCGGTAGCGGTTCTTCAGACGGTTCTCCGTTTTGTAGCCCTCGTTCCGGGAGAAAGTGTCCCGACTGTCCTGCTGCAGCGACTCAAACTCCTCCCAGAAGCCGCCCTGTGTGTGGAGATACATTTATATTTCATCTCTTATCCTCAGCTGCAAACCAGGACTCACCTTGACCAGCTGCTCCACGCGGGCATTGATCCCGGCTGCCGTGATGCGGGTGGCGTTAAAGGGCTGCCGCAGGTGCACCACTGTTCCGCACGTCTCCACCATTGGATTACGCTTGTAGTGATCGATCAGTTCCGAGAGTGTGGCAAAAGATTCCCCTCCGCCCACGTCGTACTTCTTGTCCTGGAAAAGGGTATGAAGCAGCGAATGTAGTGGAATGTCATGACACTATTAACTAACAACTAATATGAACCCAAACGTGACTGCAATGTCGAATAGAAGGAATGGCAAAAACAGCTGAACATATGAAACGGCCAGTTTGTCATGTAAATGGCATAATTGCAACAGAGACAGAGACCGAAACAGAGACCGAGACAATAGCCGCAATTGGGGTGTAGGTGATTTACACGGCAGCTTGAACTGCTTGCGCACGGCCACGAGGTGCTGTTGGAGCCACTGCGGCTTCCTCGGCTTTAGTTCTGCAGCACTGGGTGACAGGTCACGCATATACCGCATATACCGCACAAACCGCAATCCCGAGCATTGAAAAGTTCGAGAAAAGCTGTAGCGTAGAACAAGCTGAGAGCTTTTGTGGTGGCCACAAATGACACACCGATGTTTGGCCATAGATATCGGTTGACACCAGCCGATACTCAGAGCGAAACCCACCGACAGACACACATACGTATACAGTGGAATATCTCTGGGCGGACAGCCCCTCGATGGACATAGAACATAGCCATGGACAGCTAGAAACTAGAACAGCAAAGAGCGCTCTCCGTATATCTGGAGATGCGGAATGTGTTTTCGTGTATGACGTCATAAGCCTCGTGCATACGGCCACATGCAGCCGTATGCAAATCGCAAGGTCGTTGGGGAACTTTATGACCTCTCGTTCTGGCTTGTTTTGTGATTCCATCGATTTGCATTCGACATTGTGGGGCTCTTCTTGAGGATATATGAAATATATTTAATACACATATGTATGTATGTATGTACAAATGTATAGTATGTACATACCTGCCATCGAATCATGACATGCGTTACTTTGTCGTCCGTTCGAACGGAGAGAACGAAATCACCAGGTTTGCTTTGAGATTCACGGACAAGAAAAGAACCATTCTTGCCCCGCTCCAATATCAATTTTTCCGCTTCCTTGCCAGAAAGATTGCCATGAAACCATCTGAAACGACAAACAAGCAACAAATTCAAGGATTATAATCGGTATCGGTATCAGTATCAGAATCAGTATCATTTGTGGAACAGGAGCTGCAGGGTTAGATGCGCGTGCTCTACCTAGTAATGTCGTATCCGCCGCTGCACCGACTCGATTGAACCACTAACTGACTGAGCGACTAAACGACTGAGCGACTGACTGTTTGACTGCTTGACTGCGTGACTGCGTGACTGAGTGCCTGAGTGCCTGACGAGCGACTACGTGCGCGCTCGAATAGCACTTACAAACTATACACTCTCGCCTTTATAAGAAGCGTGCAAAAGCGGAAAATACTAGCACCTCCAATAACAGCAGAAACTATTGCTATGTACGTAGTAGGAACCAGGCAGCGCAAATACAAATCGAATATAAGCAAATACATACAATACCTATATGTACATAGATACATTGGTACGTCTACTCGTATGCCGACACAAACATACACTGACCGAAACCGACTGGCACAAGCCAGCAGCAGCCCGAAGAAAACAGTCAAATGCAAGGCGGCAATACCAGAAAGGAAATCTTCGGGCACTGATGTGGTGGATACCCTTCCAAATCGAACAATCCTATGGCTATTCTTAGCAATCGATCGCTTCCATGCAACCGATGGCGGTCCCATCTTTGCGGTTCCACACACCTAATGTCTGCAGTTCTGACCAAGGTTTCAGGCCGATAAGTCGATTTTTAAAGCAAATTGATTCGAATTTTTGCGCTGCTCAAGAATGGGTATGTTTTTCTTGGCATTTGGTTCCATCTTTGAGGTGAACGCATCCGTGCAGAAAGAAACATTCTACCCTTTGCAAGGGTATTATAACCACATTAAAAGTGGCAGTAACACGGATACACTATTTGGAAAAGTGCAAGTTGAATCGTTTCTAGTTGGGTCTTGGACTTACATATAAGTCGACCCGCTCTGGCCTGGTCTGGCTTGTGCTTATAGACAGACATGGACGTAGAAAGCCACATGGGTATGGACAGAGGGGGTCCGATGGCATGGGGTGAATTTGTGATTGAGCTCTCGCTGTGAACGTAACACAGAAAACAAAAGCTGAATGATGCCACAGTTGCCACTGAGCAAAACAGCCAATCTAGCGGAATTAAAGCCATAACGTCTAAAGTACTAAAGATATATTTTTTAATTTGAATTGACTCCAGGTAAATTCCAAAAGTTACAGTCCACGAAAGTCTAACAGGAGTTGCTTGACTGAGTTACTTACGATGACAAGATTACACCCCGATATTTCACTACAACAAATACGATACGAAAGCATATGTTACCTTTAAAAGCTCACAGCTGACGGAGAACGGAACAAATATTTTTGAAAAATTATCGATAGCCTTAATAATGTATTGGTATTAGAATGCAACAAAAGTTATTAAAGGTTTTTATGTTTCAAAATTATTGTTTTGCCCAGTGTAAGTCGAGGGCCTAAAGAACTGTTCGTTGAACTGCTTTACATGTTCAAGCAGTGGACGCAGTTTATTGGAGATAATGGTACCAAGCACACCTATTGGGAGGCTAAGCTTGAGGGAAGATTGGAATATTACATTTATAGGATAATGAATGAAACAGGGATGTAGCATGGTTTGTTGCATTGATTTCCCGTTAATTTCGGATATTTTTTCAGGGAATTCTTTACATGCTTCCCTCTATGTTTTTCCCATCTCTCATGACAAGTGCGATGAGATCAGCCTTAACGAATAACTCAATTCGTCTCATATCAGCAGCGATATCAAAAGACAGAGAGAGAGAGAGAGAGAGAGAGTATGCGGCTCCGACAGCAATTCTGGAGCTTACTGTATAAGTTACATACATATATACTGACGAGTACCGTGTATAAAAGTAGAGCTGCGGCCCTTGCCGCGGGTCACAAACGTTCCCGCTCGCTGTATGCATTCGGGCATCACTACATTGTGCGTTTTCGAAGAATAAATCTCCGAGCAATAGGAGCGATGGCAGCAAGGACGTGCCCACCGCTGCTCCAGTTGATTGTTGCGGTTTTGTTTTGGCTTTGCCTTTTAGCACTTTACATAAATAGCACTGGCTCAAAAAACTTGCTTTGAATTTCATAATCGACCATGTGCTATGCTTACGCTCTTAGCTGTCTTAGCTGGGCTCTCGAGTTCGTCGCCTCTAAGCCACAGTCGTGCAAAAAAACAAACAAACAACCAGAGGGGGAGGCGGATAGCTACAGATATTAACGGATGTACAGACATCCATCGACTGTCCTTAAGCCGGTTCCGATTCGGGGTCAGAGATACAATAAAATATGTCATCGAGTGAGCAAGGGAGACAACTGCTCATGTATTATGTATGCGGCAGCATAGAAGTGCTCGGCTCAGCTTTGCCGATATACATATGCCGATCCGTATGTACATACATACATATGTACCTCCCCCAGCCCACTAGTTGTATTAAATGCTTTTGCTTGCTAAATCAATTCATCTTCCGTGTGTGTCTGTGAGTGTTAGTTTGTGTCTGTGAGTGTGTGTGTTGTTCTCTGTACTATTAATAGAAATTCATGTAGAAACAATTAACATTACATTAGAGCGTATCATACACTGCCGTGCATTTCAATGCTGCTTTTCTGTCTCGCCTCCCCATCTCGCCCTGTATTGTCAGCCTGTTACAGATTCAAGGTGGCCTCCAACAGCAAACACACGCCCGGTCTGGTCCGCTCCGATCCGGTCGGATCTTGAGAGCCGAGTTTGAATGATACAAATGAAAAGTCGTTTATTTTTAGCAAAACGGAAGTTTCCATGCACTGCTTGCAAAATCGACTCTGGCATGGTCGAAACATGGACCGCTACTGATCCGACCGAGTGCTGTTTGGTAATACTACCTATGAAAGCTTCTATCAGAGAAGACAGTCTGCTTGGTCAATGGTCAAGATGATGTCCTGCTTCAAGATTATAAAGTACTTCATTGGACGGCATCCATGGGGCCAAAGGTAATGTATCTAAATTTTCGTTCTTGCCAAACGAATATCGCGATTGTTTATGAACTGCGCATTCTTCTAGATTAGCACATTTCTTGGGCCGAAAGCGCGCTTGAGCTAGGGAAGCTTTCATTTTTCGATCTGAGCTTTTTGGGCTGGGCGCGCACACTGCCAGCTGAGTTGAGAGATGATCTGTTAGCTCCATGTCCGTCTCTTCTCTGAGCTTAAAAGCTGTCGCAAGGAAATGATGCAGAGTTTTCTTTTATGACTTTGCAAATCGTTTTCCGCCATAGAATTTCTGCTGACAACAAAAAGCTTTCAGAGTTCTCGGCAAAGCTATCACCCGTGACGTGTGTTTGTTTTTTGTCGGAGCTTTTCGAAAAGGACTCGCCTCCGATCAATGGCCCGGCGGGCTCTTATTTGATCTGATCCGATGCGCCCATATTTCTGTAGATCTTTACTTTTAGCATTGTGACGATAACACACACAAAAAATATTTACGGCCCTCAACTCGATTTAAATCGGACCGACTGACTGGCGAGTGAGTAAATGACAGCCGACAAAAATAACCAGATGCATATGATGTGCATATACGAGCATCTTCAAGTACGTCAGTGAATTTCACAACTTTTTGGTTCACTTACAGTTACACTTACAGTGACAGAAGTAACGACCGCAATATTTACAAACGAAGGAAGCTGCGGCCCATTCATGAAAGCGCCGCCTAAGGTCAACAAACAGATTTCATGTATTTATATATATACATATAAATAAATAAATACATATGCAAAACATATGTATGCATACATTGTGAATCTTAGTATGAATATTGTGCTTATTATATAATTTCATGACTTTTGTCACAGGTTTGTTTCTTTTTTGTGTGCCAACGCACCTCGAAAGGCGTCAGAGAAACGGGTTGCTGGGAGGGGAACAAAAGAGTGAAGTCGAGCCGAAGCCGGCTCGCCTTCATTTAATCAGCTCTGACTGTGACACTGACTCAAAGGGGCGCGCGCACACTGCATAGAAAACTGTTCTAAATGCTCCGAGCGTACTAGTGTGCGCGCGCCTTTAGACTGGAAGTTAGCCCATGTTTGCCAATGACTACCCCTGCACTCTAGCCAACCCAACCGCTAACTCGCAAGCAGTTCATGGAGTGGAAACATAGCTGTACATAGCTGCTGTTGTTGTCAGCGAACTTCTTGTTCTCGCTTAGCTGCTTCTCGGAGAAGTTGGGGCTTTTACCTCGGTAAACCCTCTTCCCACAGGCCATTTCCAGGTCAGCCAAGCTCTTTGACCGAGCTCTTCGAATTAATTTGCACAATTAAACTGCATATATTGTGCAATGGAAAAAGGCAAGATGCCTCACAAATCATCTCGAAGGCAAAGCAGCTCGAAAACTCAAGAAATAACGTGAAAACAAAGGACAAAAGCAAACCAGTCGATACGTAGTCGGAAAGAGTTAGGATGAGAATGGGATGATGGAGAGTTGGAGATGTGATACGAAGGGAATGAAATTAAATACGACTATCGGAACGAGGATCAAGAATAGCTATCGATTAAATGATGGATGGCAGACGAATACAGCAATATAAGCCAAGATAGAATAATAGGATAGAAACTGGGTAACGATAGAGTTTGATGAGATGGGAAAGGAGTTCGGAATAAGGTACACTGTACATAATTATCTTTTGCCAGAGAACCCCGGAAAAACAAAACAAGTTAAGAACCCAATCAATACCGTATGCCAATATAGAAAGTTGAATTCATTTGTACATAAACCAAACCGAAATTCAAACTCAGCTCCGAAAAATAGGAGAATTTACGGGTACACAAGGTGTATATGTATATATAAATTTGCACAGACATATATGGGTAAATTCCCGGGAAATTTGCGATTTTACCAATCTTAGATAACCCGCACAAAAACAGAGGCCGAGACAGAGCCCGGGACTAAAGTAAAGTTAAGAAGCGGAATGGAATCTGGGACGGATGACTGACACAGGCCAAACATTTGGACGGCTGCAGATAAGAGAAGAATCTCTCCAACAGAGCTCCCTCGATCGCTCTGAAATAGGGCAGTACCCCATACTATTAGCCCTAATCTCTCTGGTTCCATTTTGGACTCGATTTATCCAAACAATCCAATGCGAAACTCTAAATAAAATAACTTGGAATTTAATACGTGAGTGCGGGAGTCCAGATAGCACAAAAAGTGGTCACATTCAATATATGCAAGAAGAGACATGGCTCTGTCTCTATCTCTGACTCTGTCACTTATTCCCCTCTCTCTCCACGGGGAGCACTCGTTCATAATTATTAAATTGCAAATTGACGACTTTTTTCCTCTCCACGATCCATGTTGTTTTTGTTGTTGAATTCTGTGCGTAAATATTTACTCAATTTGCGTGGCAATTTTGAGCACAGCACATGACAATTTGCGTTGTGATGTTTATGTGGTTTTTGTTGTTGTTTTTTGTTTTTTTGGCGTGGCTTCAACTGTATGTGATAGGCCACCTTATTAGGGCTAATGCTAATGAGGGGAGGTTGCCCAAAGAGTCTCGACTCGTTTGGTACTCCGCTCACACATCCACAGATGATTGGGATGGGGGAATGTCGCGTTTGCTTTTCTGTTTCTGTTTTCTTGATCGTTAATGCTTTAGTTAAATATACTCCAACTTTGCCTGCCATACTCATTCATTCTTTTGCCTTATTCGTGTAAATTAACTTGACGGCCGTCTCTGGTTCTATCCCAACTCTCTCATGAGCTGCTATACCTCTCTTTTACTACAATTCCATTTCATTCGATTCTATCAGTAAATGACCTAAACGCCTAGTATCCTTTATCTGATTTGCTCGTTTACTTGAACTCAATTACGATTGCGATTGCTTTTACACATTTCGAACCTCAGCAAACTGCTTAGGCTTACACTCATTCATTCCTTGAACCTGCTTGAACTGCTTTGAATAGACAAAGAGCGTCTCTTAATATCAAAACTCCCCCAAATCAGCACATAAGTGGTAAGTGGTATCTGAAAATTCGTATCACCCAGCTCCGTCCCACCCCCACTTTGGGAATCATTAAAATTCACTTTCGCACGCGCCTCAAATAAGTTAATCGCGTTTCACAGGCCATTTCTCCGCACTTACGTGTATCCATAAAGCTGGACGCGCATGTGGGCCAGCAGCACTAAGGTGCTGGTGGAGCAGGTGCCGCTGCCGAGGCCCGCTGGAAACTGGGGAGGTGCGCTCGACCAGGAGGTGGGTGTGGCGGGATAGGAGGCCACCAAATTTGGTGGGGTCAGTCGGTGCAGGGATTCGGTGGATGTGGAAGCGGAGGGCGCCGATGACGCCTGGGCCGAGACCGGACGCCGTCTGTTTAGCTGGTGGTGGTTGTTGGTATTGCCCCTGATGATCAGAGCCAGCTCATCGTGGCTCATGCACTCGCGACTCCCCATTGTAGTGCTTGCTGTGGTTGTTGCTGTTGTGGCTGGTGCTGTGGCTGTTGCTGTTGCTGTTGCAGGTGCAGATGCAGGTGGTGTGGTTGCCTTAGACATTCGGCATTTGCCCGATTTGGACTTGGGTCTGTCTCTGACCCTCTCCCTGTGCCTATCTCCGTCTCCGCATCCTCCGGCACTTCCGTAATGCGCCTGAATGGCCCGCTCGTACTCAAAGTTTCGTTTTTTATTGTATACGTTGTTGTTTTTGTTATTAATAAAGTTATTATTAAAACTATTATTATTATTATTATTATGGCTGTAGACTTGTTTCTCTTGTAATTTTTGGTTGACAACATTTCCCAGTGAGCTGGACAGCTTTTCCAGGCATTTGTTGAACAGCATCTTGCCGTGTCTTTGGCGCCTGAGCACTTTCCCTACACAAACTAAAAAAATGTACACAGGAAAAAAACGATATTGTAATATTCGAACAGGCACTGAAAATTTCCACTGTGGAATAACGCGTCGACTGTTGTTGTTTCTGCTGTTGTTGGGGGTTTTTTAAATGACTATTTTTATTTCTTTTTTTTATGTAACTAGTTGCACACCGATGTAAAACTAGAATTCTTGTTCTTGTTCATGTTTGTTTTTTATTTGTTTTCGGTTTGTTTAGCTTTTTTACTATTTATATTAGTCAGTTTGATAAAGGGGAAAAATGCATGTATTTTCGAATAGAGTTTGCTTTTGTTTATTGCACAATTTTCTTCAAAGCCAATAACAATTTCTTCTGATACGAATCGACTTTGCTCGTTGCTTGAGTGGCCAGGGCTGTGGAGGTGGATGCGGATGTGGGAGCCGCTGGTGTTGCTCTGTGGGCCTCGTCCAGACGAGTTTGTGCCGCCATCAAATGTTCGAGGACAAATGTGGCCGAAGGCATAATTCGCGGCAGGAAATTCACTTTACTGGGATTGCAAAATTTAGCCGCTCCACTAAACTGCTTGGACTGCTTGACCGATCTTTACACAACGAACACGATTTTTACAGTACTTTACGCTTGCTGCCGATGCTGTCGGCTTCTTGCTTGTTGTGCGTGTGCTAAACCGTTGAACCGCAACTCGAGAATGAAGCTCCAGCTGCTGGGTCTAAAGCTTTTTGCCTCGTTCTTGACGTTGTCTCTGCTGCGTTGCTCTGACACCTCGCTCTCCGTCGCTGCGTCGCTCTTTGTATCTGCTCTCGTCTCTCCTCGCACACTTTGCTGTTGGAGATCGCTTGAATTGAGTTGGTGAGTGTTCTAACCGCTCGCACTCGCACTCGCACTCGGGCTTGGGTATGAATGAATCTTCCCTGGCTGTGTCCAGCGCTTTTGTTTTAAATCACCGCAGCGCGGGCTAACCCTTCCTCATCCACAGCTCCTCCGCCCCATGCCGCTGATCGTTGCCCTGTCGTTGTTAGGGGTTGTTGTTTATTGGGTTTTTTTTTTTCAATGTGCAAAACAAAATACGTTCCAAAAGTCAAAGTGTTTGGCTGTGGTGTGGGTGTGAGTGCGGGTGTGGGTGTGGAGACCTGCTTGTTCCTGCTTATCGCACTGCTTGCGTGCACTGCAGCAGTTGTCAGGCTATTTGAAAGGCTAACTAAACTGCTTGCTTGTGGAAAGTTGTCTAGAAAGTGTGAGTGCACGGCCTGCACTTTAACTGTCCAGCCACCTTGTGCTTGATGCTTATGAGTGATGACTGTAACTGTCTTGTTACACACTCCCGATGAATCACCCTCCCCGCAATCAGAATCCGAATCAGATTCTGAATATATGTACATACATACATATGTATGTATGTATCTGTATATGCTTCGAAAGGCAAGCAGAGAATTAATTCGAATCTAAAAATGGTAATTTCTTGATGTGTGTTGGCTTGTAAGACGAAGCTTTAAGCACAGTACATTGCCTGCCAGCGGAAATGAAATTGAAACCGAACAACACAATTCTGACGGCCATTTAGGCAAGAAAGGAGCAGGGGAGGGGCTGAGGTGGCGAGCGAAAGAGATGGCACTAGTGCTGGCCTAGCTCTCTTACAGCACAGACGTCAGAGGAGCGGACGTGCCACGCATTTTTTTCACCATCAAAATTGGACGACGTGCGACTGCCCCATCGATCCGAAGTGCGATCTTAGATACACCTCCACACGTCTCACCCCCCCTGCCCACAATCTACCTGCGGGTGGAATGAGCTTTTATGACGAAGTTTAACTATTTTTTTGTTTACCATTTTGCATCGTTTCGTCATCGGTTTTTCGCTGGAAGTGAAACAGAAACAGAAATACACACGAAAATTATGAAACCTGGAGAATTTAAGGTAGACCTGAGGTAATTTAAAGACGCCGAGCACGTGCTCCTCAGCTGCCCCCTCTCTTCGCACTACTCGCGATGAGAGAAGGACTCGATCATCGAAATGATGGATTCCATTAAGTACCAATAAAATATCCGGACTATCGACACTTTTTTTTAATCTTTTATCGATATTGGACCAGCTGTGGGCTTTTAAAGAAAAGATATGTTTTCGCAAGATCTATACATACTTATACATTTTGATTGATCAATAATTTTTAGAAAAGGGGCAGGAATGGCCCAAAAGGTAAGTAGGGTCTTAAAAGACGAAACTGCGCTACTAGCTACATTAATACGCGAGAATCCGGCCACTTTTAATCCCTGAAACGACACTACTTTTGGCTAAAGAATACGGTTATTATACATTCACACAGTTACCTCTACTTTCCATTTATACTTGTTTATTATCTGATTGGAAATAGTTGATTTAAACGTGTTTAATCATTCCTTTCCTTCTTAGCACGAAATTAAAATTTAAGTGAAAAACAGCTCGCATTGCACTACACCTCAAGTTGTGTCAAGTCCCTATGAAAAAACCATGCATTGCACTGTGTCCTCCTGATGGATTCCACTTATACTATGTCTACATGTCTATGCCTATATATTTATCTATGCTTTATTGCACCCTATTTTTCATGCAGTCAACAAAGCGGCCGCGCCCCCGTAAATTATCTTCTAAGCATTGACTAGAACTGATTTCTTATCTAGCGTAAAGCAGTTAACGTAGCTCTTAACCATTTTTTGCTTTGCTCTGACTATGCCACTCGCATATTCGTTAATTGATCCCTTCCGGGGGGTTTTTCTTCTGACGAGAGAGTCTCGTTCGCTCATCGTCATATTCCGACGTTCATCATCATCCTATTTCAAACTAGCAAAGATCATCTTCATCATCACACATTTCATAAACACATTTTTGTTATCGTTTTCCGATATGAAAATATCAAATTTATCTGGCATACCTATCTAGAAAAATATCATTTTGAGTACCTAACACCATACCTCGTACCCGATACTCGAAGAGAATAGGGGTAAATCGAATTCGTGTAGAGGGTAGAAGGGTTTCCGACTCAGAATATACATGATAGGGAGAGAGAAAGATATTCAACGGACGGAAATAGCTAGAATATTGGTGATTGGGTGGAATGGGGAGCGATCGGAGTGCAGGAATTATCATTAGAACATGAATAGCGTTCGCGATCGCTCTCTCGTGGCACCGAGTTGTACATATATTCGTCAGAGTATGAACTGGGGCGACCTTTAACAGGTATTTAGATACTTTATCGATATTTGCACTCCGAAATTTACGATACAGTTCCACACGCCCATTCATCATCGCGAATTGTTCACATTCTGTTTAACCACATATCCCTCGGGATTTACGATAACTGTAACATATGTATTTAAATACACATATACTCAGTGATTCGTTGGGGCATACGTGTGTCTTGCACGTAGCACTTTCCAAACCAGATCAGCCCATAAATCGGCCGGGGATTCACGGCTATTTTTATTATTTTAGCCTTAAGCCAAGTAGATCAGATCTGTAGTCAAATTAGATCTGTTACAAATTCCAACTATTTATGAAAGTAAGAGGGAAATGTATTTACTGTGGGATTGTGTGACCCTGGAGGAGGACGATGAACCGAGAAAGAGCCGCATATATTGGATAATTCCATACTTGCTGGAGAAAATTCAATGTTTATTATTGCATATTTTCTAGTCTTCCCAAAATATTTCTATATTTCGCTATTGCCCAGCAAAATACTGTCGGCCTTTCCTGTGTTATTCCGTATTTCATTTCTCTGATCCCTCATTTGGGGCTTTTTTGTGCTTCTTATTCTTTGACGGTTATTTAAGCGAGGGATTTACCTGAATAAATAATTGCCTGAAAGTCGCATTTGCGGTTGCCGCCCAGTCGCAGACGTTCGTGATGCGAGCTTTAAATTGTCATGCTCTGGGCAGTTAAGGATACTAAATATAACGATTGAACATTAAGACCCACGTACATACGAATGTGCATACATATGTACATACGTATGACACGTACAGACCTATGGATGCGTACGAGTGCATACTATGAAGATACAGTATGTCCAAAGTTCAGTTCGAGTCGAAAAAAGAAGGAATAAAAACTGCAGAAATTCCTCAGGAAAGATTGTAGCTATTTGGAGAAATGTCAGACTAGACCCACCAAAGCTCAAAGATCAGTGAGCGATTCGAGACTACGAAATACCAATCCCAACTCAAGTGTCACTGATTTCAGTTCACCCGATCCCTTTAATGTAATAGAGACTCGTGTTCGACTGCTCAGTTTATCCACTAGACTCGGTTTACTCTCTTCGAAATGGCAAAAATTCCTTTAAATGTTTATTTTTATAGGAAGGGACTACGATATATACGTATGTATACCTTTTGTGTATGTTTTCAGTTGGATTAGACTAAACATTTCAGGAATAATTGTTCTCTAAGTGTAGTTCAATTAAAAAACTTTAGTCATTCAAAGTCAACGAATCAATGGGACTAAAATTGTACAACAAAATATACCCGTTGTATTTTCGCAGCGTAACTACCCGTCACGATCCACACTCAGCGAATTGTATGTTTTATAAGTATAGTTTTAGTTTAGTTTCGTTTCGAAAACACTTCAGTTTGATTGGGAGTGGGATTCTGGTACGGGGGAAGCACGGCGAAGTACAGTTTTCATTAAGTCGAGTCGGGTTGAGTAATTACCCAAGTGGCGTCTGTATAATCAGTGTCTAGTCGTAGGGTGACAGCTTGATCGGACGGATCATAGCTCACGGGGATATGTCGTGGAGATGAGACCTCTCCGTCTTATGTTGGAGGTATGTAGCTGATGGAATTCCTCAGGGGTCTGTCCAATCGAGAGCGGACAGTGTGTGGGAGTGTATACATATATGTACACATATTTTCACAATAAAGTTTATTTACGTATATTTCTATAGAGTATTTATTTCAGCTGTAGCTGCTTCTCGGCGTGCTGCTGCCTTAGATATAAATATACATAGATACAAAAAAAAAACGAGGGGGAAGTTGAGCTGAGATCGAGATACACGTCTAAGAGCCACAGCTCAACGTGCACGGCATAATTTGTCGGCCATTTGTAGGCTTGTCTTAATGGTGAAAATTGAAATCATTTAACATTTCAGGCACTTCAAAATCGGATAGATAGATGGGAACTGCGATG